TGAGTTACCAACTAAATTGATTGAGTTATCTGTTTGATCAGATAATCTTAATTACTCATTTTCAGTAGTTTGGCAGTCTTTCATTATTGCTTCAAATGTAATGCTGCAAAGAAAAGCAATTGCTATGTGGTGAATAATCTAATTTCGGATGTACTTAATTATGGAAAATAAATGCAAACAACTAGTTTTAAGATGGATAATCAGTACTCATTTTGTAAGCGATTTTATCTTTGTTTTTGAGAAGATTCTTAGAAAATGCTAGCATTTCTTTGAATCTAAATGTATAGAGAAGGCTACAGAGCATATCTGTTTGGCTTTCATTCCTATGAAGTTTGGACTGCTTTGACACATCATGTGATGTCTATTAGAGAACAATTTTTCCCCCTCAAACTTGACAAGCAAACAGCATGATAGCTTTTCTTTCACCTGGCAGGTTTCCTGACTGAATTCTTTCTGTTGAGATCATAAATAATTACTTGGATGACCCCATCCATTAGTATTTTTTCCCAAGTACAATAGACCCTCCCTAGAACATATTGTGATAATAGCAGTCATTACTTATACCTCCCTCTGTAAATGAAAAGCTGTAAAAACATCCTCTCTGTAGCATGCCTGTTGTAACTTTTTTATGTCTCCAAAAATACTTTTCTTTGCCTCTGGAAGAGGTTGAATGAAAAGCATCTAAAGGAGCTATTTTGTTTAACAAAATTGAGCATTATATGACAGTTAATTGGCTACTGTTATCCACAAAAAGAAACTAAATGTTGAGTAGTTTTGAAAGTATAAGATGAATATACTTGCAGTTAATTTGGGAAGCTTTCCCAAATCAGGCCAAATAAAGTCATGCAAGGTATTGCTCTTAGATGTAGACAGCCCCTAATTTGTTTGACATTGTTGTAACACTATGGCTAAGACATTAGACTCTGTAGCACAGCCAGTGCAACAGTCTTGCTTGGTCAAAGTTCGTAGTATTAATAAATAGTGTTCAGAGATGAATTAGACAGCCACAGCATTCAGGATAGCCACAATGCTGCATGAGGTATGGGTGCTGCGGTTGAAGGACCTCTGAAATTGCTATGCAATCAACAAATGGACTCTATACGTGTTTTAAGATATTCCCTAAAAGCTACCTTATCAGTCCTAAGAATTTCTTTAGTGGTTTAGTATCAAATTTTCCTTGGTAAGGCCCCTTGAAGTCCCTTGTGATATTTTACTGTACTAAACTCGCAATGTGGAAGCAAGTTGTTTCTTTTATATGAAAACAAAATCAACAAAATACTCAGCAGGTCAGGCAACATTTGTGGAAAGAATCGGAGTTACGTTTCAGGCCAATGACCTTTTATCAGGACTGGATAGGGAGTCGAGTTCGAAGGAAAGGTTGTTCAGAGAGAAAACAAATTGGACCTTGGCTTAAGGAAGAAATGGGAAGCTCTAAGACTGTTCTGGTGGGGATAACGTTCAAAAGGATTGGGGTCTGTAGTGAAGAGGAAATAATTGGAGCCAGGAAACTTGGAAATGTTGAAGTGACACAGGAAAGCAAAAGAGCCATGAATGTGAATAGGTAAAGAGTATTCAAGAGAGAAAAAAATTGAATTGATATAGGAAGAAATGAGTTCAATGAGGTGGGAGCAGTCAGTAAAAGTTTTGTTTATTGATGTTGGGAGGGGAATAGAAGTGTGCTTCTTGGGGTTGGGGAGTGCTAGAGGTTGTGGAGGGAAGATATTCAGACATGATAATGTCAGTGATAGTCCTTGACACAATGGCTTGATAGTCAATAGTGATAGCATGGTTCACAGGGGGGGGTAGGAGAAAATGGTGATAGTTGGCATTTGGCCCCTGGTAGTTAGAAATCTGTACAACACCGGTGATATTTATGTCGGTGAATTGGATGATGATATTAAGGTTGCAACTGCCAGAATGGACTTCAGCAAATTCAGAAAGAAATTGTTTAGAATGAAGGAGAAGAGGAGCAGAGAATTTCAGATATCTGATGTCATGCCAGCAGTTCTCAGTGAAAAGATCTAGTTAAGGTCAAAGACTGGAGGGAAAGGTCCGGGTGGAGAGAGAATATTGGAGTATAATGCAGCAAGATCAGTGATTTGGAGAGTTCTGGATATCTTGGATGTATCTGTGATCCTAACAAGAAAGGTAGAGATTAAGTTGGAATCCATCAAGTTGGAATAAATTGAAGCTGAAGGCAATTGCTGAAGAAAGAAACATGTCTGTGGAAGTAGACTTCTTTAGCTATCTGATCAAACATAAAGAAACTCAAAAGCAAATAAGTGGTACGAGGTAGAAGAGACAATTGGAAGACCCATTGGAGAGAAGAGTGAAACTTCTTCAAGGCAGACATTCCTGGATCAGAAATGGCAAAGATTTAAACACTAATATAAAAGCAAAATAATGCAAATGCTGGAAATTTGAAATAAAAAATAAACTGCAAATACTCAACAGGTCCAGCACCACTTGTGAGTCCGGATAGTTCAGAGCAGCAGAGCATCAGACTTTGGGGTGGCACCGTGGCTCTGTGGTTAGCACTGCAGCCTCACAGCGCCAGGAACCCAGATTCGATTCCACCCTGAGGCAACTGTCTGTGTGGAGATTACACATTCTTCCCATGTCTGCGTAGGTTTCCTCCGGGTGCTTTGGTTTTCTCCCGCATTCCAAAGATGTGCATGTTAGATGGATCGGCCATGCTAAATTGCCCATAGTGTCCAGGGATGTGTAGGTTAGGTGAATCAGCCATGGGAATTGCGGGGTTCCAGGGATAGGGTAGTGGGGTGGGTTCGGGTGGGATGCTATTTGGAGGGTTGATGTTGACTTGATTGGATAAATGGCTTGCTTTCACACTGTAGGGATTCTATGAAGGCATTATATTTCAAGCAGATGACCTTTCATCAGGACACCTCCTCAAGATAGCACCATCGAGATGATGAAATAGCAAAAACTGCATATGCTGGAGTCAGAGATAAAAAAGTGTGGTGCTTCAGGAATACAGGCAGCATTAGAGGAACAGGAAAGCTGACGTTTTGGGTCGGGACCCTTCATTTTCTGATGATACTGTCTCTCCAATTTTTTTCTCTCAAATTGCATTACTTGCATTACAAATTGCATAAGGAAAGCCTTATTGAATTGCATGTGCAGTGTATCTTCCCATTATACTAATCTACTGAGGTCTTCTATTATGATGCTCAATATTTATAACTTTGCCAAGTTTTGCATTATCCACAAACTTTTAAAACACTAACAGCCTCAGTGATCTAGTGTCTGGCAGCATTGCCGCTCAAGTGTGCCTGTGTTGCGGATACAAATTTGGAACTCTGTGGTATTCATACTAACAAAACACAATTGCTAATAATCCCAATTTTCATTCACAGTTCTTAATTTCCATTAATAAATAAAATTCTGTTTACAACAAGATTCACTATCTCCAGTATTGCTATGCTAGCAAAGTTTTTTATAAGATCATGTTGTGAAGCTTCAATGATGATCCTTTATTGTTATGAGGCAAGAAATTAATAAAAGGTTTAAATTAAATAGTTTTAATTGTCTTATTGCAGTTCTCTAAACGTTTGTGTTTGTTAATTGTATTTTGTTCATTTATTGTTTCATGCTTCATTTATATTGAGTTAGTAACCATTTCAAAATGAGTGAACAGTTGAAATGTACTGCAAAATGTCATGCTTCTAAATTTTGTGACCCTTTCATGGAAAGGATCAAGGTGAGGGTCATACTGAAAAACACTTTTAAGTTAAAGTTTGCATTTAAAAAATTAAATTCACTGAAAAGTAGAATATATCTCAATGTTCTAAGTCTTGAATGGGGTGTCTGGACTGGCATCCCACCAAAAAAAAAATGTTTTGACATTTTAGCAACTACTCACACTAGATGCTGTGACAGCCCTATTCATTTGAACTCTGAGGGGGTCATTGCTGAGTTTGGCTGGTGAACTCCATGCTGAGTAGGGGTTGTGAATAATCAGGTTTGACTTGAAGCAGAATCTGAAGTGAGGACAAAGGGACAAGGCGTTGGACAACAAAAGCCTGAAAATGCCAGGAAAGCCGTAGAAAGAAGAGCTTCTGCCCTCAGAGTGCATGATAGAATGCAGGAGAGTTTGTTCTGATTTTGCCAAGTTGGATAACCCTAAACATTCACTATTCTAAGGTTGTTACAGTGAAGCAAAACTGCATCAATTGAACTGAACAATTCTGATCCTAAATGCTGCTCTGTATGTTTCATTTCACTTTGGAACAAGCCAGTCTAGCTAAAGTTCATCCCATGTATAAAGAGATTAAACAAATACATGCAAAATGATAGAACTATTCAAATAATTGTAAAGTATTGTGGATGCTAGAGATCTGAAATAAAAACAGAAAATGCTGTAGAAACTCAGCAGGTCTGGCAACAACTGTGGAGAGAGACTGAGTTACATATCAAGTCCAATATGACTCTTATTTTGAAAAAGTTCTGCAGCTGCTCAGGTGAATGTGAGTCACTAAAATAAAGTCCAACAAAAGGACCCAATTGAACAAAAATTTGATGATGGCATCGAGTATACAATTACAGTAGTCATACTGGACTTCAAACATTAACATTGGTTCACTCTCCATTAATGCTGCCAGACCTGCTGAGTTTCACCAGCGCCTTCTGTTTAAAGTTGTTTAATTTTTGTCACAAAAGTGTTCTAATGTTTCTTGAGTTTAGATATAGAGCAAGATGAGTCAGTTCTTGTGAAGGTAATATGGGCAAACTGCCTACAGGAGTGACTGACACCACTAAACCTGAGAAGCTATCTGTGGCAAGTTTGAAGCACCATTCAAGTAAAAAGTAAATGTTAAATAAAATCACCAAATAAAAGTGAGTTATAAATTTATTGTTGTAAGATTTTAGGAGCATTTTAGTTTTTAATTTAACAGTCTTCAAAATGCACAGATGATGTGTCAGTTTGAAAGGTGACATACATTCATAATTTTTTATTTAAATTTTTTTTTCCACTACAGCAAAGCAGTGATGGATCTCTTGATTGACTTGTGCAGCCAGTATCATTTGAATCCAACCCATCATACCCTTGAACTGCAATCCAGAGAGACGTGCAAACCATTGGGCTTCAAGCCAAATACCCCAGTCGGAGTTTTGGATATAGACAAAGTGTTCATAAAGCAGAAAGTTATTGAGGAGAAGCCAAGAAGACCCCCACCTGTAGTGCCTGAAGTAGGTAACAAATCAGAAGCATTATTGTATGTAATTTTTAAAAACCTTTTTATACTAATTGTGCTATTATTCAGATAATTCAGTGCACCGAAAATGTGATTCCTAATTAATTTGCCGTGCCTCTTTGATGTTTATGTCCATTCACCAAAATTTTCACAGAATTGCATAGAATGTGGCAAAGGTGGTTTCAAAGGTTAGGAAACAATAATTTGAGTACTTTTGATGGGGTTTAGAAATGAAGGATGATGGATAAGTTTGAATAGATTGAAAATTTTGATGAGTTATGAATGCTTCTTCATTGTGGATAATATATATTGATACATAGTTTCTACTTACGGTACAACTTACATGTGTGTATTTTATTGCGTTCTGTGCACCAAGCTCTTGAAAATGTCTTCATGATAGAGTGCTACAAGCTAATAAAATTACAAAATTGCCAGTGGTTAAATGAAACATTTATCTATTCTGATGGACATGTTATTATTTGTGTTGATTCTTAATCTAATTTGTTTACCATTACAGAAAACTGTGAGGTTGGTGGTGAATTTCCACAAGACACAAAAAACTGTGGTGCGAGTCAGTCCATTTGTACCCTTGCAGAATCTGCTGCCAGTTATATGTGAGAAATGTGACTTCAATTCAGATCACCTTGTACTCCTGAAAGACAACATCAGAAGGGAAAAGGTGGATCTTTCAAAATCGTTAAATGATTTGGAAACCCGGGAATTGTATGCTCTGGATATTAGTAGAGGTGAGTTTGTCCAGAAATAGCAGATATTGTTACTGGCCAAGTCCAATTCCCCATCATGAATCTATCTTGATAAATCATATTTGATTTTATTTTGATTTTAAAAAGTGGCCTCTCACTGAAACAAAAGCACACAATGCTGCAGATTTAGCTTTAATAAGAACAGCATGGGAGTTTATTTTCAGAGGAACTAAATGAAACTAGAATAATACAAATACTTACAATATAAATTCAAAGATTTTAAATGCATCATGGAAGTATAATTGCATTAATCCCAAAACACTCCTTTATAAATTGAGAAGAAACAAAGTAGCATTTGTATAGTGTCTAAAACACCACTGGTGTAGTTCTGAAAACAACATTTCTAATGCTGTACTCAAAACACCATTCGTATTCTACTTAAACCAGTATCCCTGTATCTAACATTTCAATAGGTTTAAATCACTTGGGACTTCAGTTTTTAAACTTGAACTGCGATAGCTTCTTCCTGGAACTATCATACACTTCAGGTTCACTGCACTCAGCTTAAATAACCACTTTCTGATTTTTTAATCTGGTCTGGAATTAACACAAACTATTCACTGTAAAGTCCTGATGCACTATATCCTTCTCAGGAGCATTGCTGTATACAGCCAAGATCAAAAAATTACCCAAACGTTTCTTGGGCCCACATAGGACTCTGCCAGACAGTCCTTTTTTCTAAAAAAAACTCATGCTGGAATTAAAAGTTCAATATGTCCATAAGTTCTTTGGGTTCTGATCCATTGTCATGGCACAGATGGAACACAGAATAAATCTTTCATTGTAAAAATCAAAAACTTGATGACTGTTACTGGATGTGAAAAAGAATGAAAACTTGCATTATTTTTATTCACATTAACTCAAGAGTTTTAATGCAATGCTCATATAAAATTTTTGTAATTTTGTCTTGCAAGGCAAGGCATAGTAAATTACTGTTGTTAAGGGTGTATGACACTGTGTCAAAACTGTGCTGAAAATGATCTCCTCAAGCTCACACTCACCTTCCCTGTCTCTTCTACTTTGAACAGTTAAGGAGCTGATGAACTTCTTTGTCATTACGTTGAGGCCATTTGTTCAGCTGCCTCTGCTGCTTCCCTTTCTTTTCCTACTGCAGGAATCTAAGCTTTATTTCAGATTTCCCTCTGTCCTTAACCCGATCTCACATCTTAATGACTGTGTTTCCACTGGTATTGCCTCTGTTGCCTCCAACACTGCTGTCATTACCTTTCTCCTAAAGCAAACAAATCCTTGAACCCTTTTGTTGTTGCAGTCTCATGCTCCATCTCTATCCTCTGTATAATGTAATAAAACCGAAAGAACTGCGGATGCTGTAAATCAGGAACAAAATCAAAGTTGCTGGAAAAGCTCAGCAGGTCTGGCAGCATCTGTGAAGGAAGAAACAGAGTTAACGTTTCTGATCCAGTGACCCTTCCTCAGAACTGATGGTAGCTGGGAAAACGTCAGTTTATATGCAAAAAAAAGGGAGGGGGTGGGGTAGGGAGTAAACAATAGGATAGAGCCTATAGAGAAGAAAGACAGTTGGACGGACAAAGAAGTTGATAATGATCAGGCTGGGAGGGTGAATAGTTGTTAATGGGAACTGTTAGTGACTAACAACAGGTAATGTGTAATAGCAGGCTATGTGGTAACAAGGCCTGGTGTGTGGGGTTGGGGGTTTGGGCCATGGGAGAGTTTAGGCCCTAAAATTATTGAACTCGATATTGAGTCCGAAGGGCTGCAGCGTCCCCAAGCGGAAAATGAGGCGTTGTTCTTCCGGCTTGCGTTGGGCTTCTCTGGAACACTGTAGCAAGCCAAAGACAGACATGTTGGCCAGGGAATAGGGTGGTGCATTAAAGTGGCAGGCAACAGGTAGTTCAGGGTCTTTTTTGCGAGCAGAACGTAGATGTTCTGCGAAGTGGTCACCCAGTCTACGCTTCGTTTCCCCAATATAGAGGAGACCACATTGTAAGCAGCGAATGCAGTAGACTAGATTCTGGAAGTGGAGGTGAAATGTTGTTTCACCTGGAAGATATGTTTGGGAACAAAAACAAAGTTGCTGTAAAAGCTCAGCAGGTCTGGCAGCATCTGTGATGGAGAAAAAAGAGTTAATGTTTCAGGTCCGGTGACCCTTCCTCAGAACACATCTGATGATCATCAGACACCATTTCCGCCACCTCCAGCAAGATGCCACCATCAGACACATATTCCCCTCCCGTCCCTTGTCTGCCTTCCGCAGGGACCGTTCCCTCCGGGACACTTTGGTCCACACTTCCTTCACCCCCAACAACTCTCCACAGCCCTACAGCACCTTTCACTGTAACCGGCGAAGGTGCAACATCTGCCCATTTACCTCCTCCCTCCCCAGTATCCAAGGGCCCAAACATACCTTCCAGGTGAAGCAACATTTCACCTGTACTTCCCAGAATCTAGTCTACTGCATTTGCTGCTTACAATGTGGTCTCCTCTACACTGGGGAAATGAAGCGTCGACTGGGTGACCACTTTGCAGAACATCTAAGTTCTGCTCACAAAACAGACCCTGAGCTACCTGTTGCCTGCCACTTTAACACACCACCCTGTTCCCTGGCCAACGTGTCTGTCTTTGGCTTGCTGCAGTGTTCCAGCAAAGCTCAATGCAAGCTGGAAGAACAACACCTCATTTTCCACTTGGGACCCTGCAGCCCTCTGGACTCAATATCAAGTTCAATAATTTTAGGGCCCAAACTCTCCCATGTCCCAGCCCTCTACCCCACACACCAGGCCTTGTTACCATATAGCCTGCCATTACACTACCTGTTGTTAGTCACTAATAGTCCCCATTAACAACTATTCACCCTCCCAGCCTGATCATTATCAACTTCCTTGTCTGTCCAACTGTCTTTCTCTCTGTATAGGCTTTATCCTATTGTTTACTCCCTATCCCACCCACCTCCCCATTTTCTACATCTAAACTGATGTTTTCCCAGCCACTATCAGTTCTGAGGAAGCGTCACCAGACTCGAAATGTTAACTCTGTTTTTTCCTTCACAGATGCTGCCAGATCTGCTGACCTTTTCCAGCAACTTTGTTTTTGCTGTCTATAATGTATCCTGGTTAACAACAACAACAGCTTTATTTTGGAGGTATTTCTGCTGTGATGCATGTTTTGTTAACACGAACTGGCTGTGACACAATTATTGAACAGTGAATGCTGTTTAGATAACGCAAACTTTCTACTGTACAGTATAGCTATTTTCTATTATGATTTCCCCATTACACGATTTTCAATGGTAATTTTCTATAGCGCGATTTTCTGTAGTGCGATTTTCTAAAGCAGGAGGTTGCACAAGGACGCAACTATCGTGTTTTGGAGAACTACCTGTATGTAGAATGTTCAATGTAGTTAAATGTGCTAAGGTTCTTCACAGAAGTGTTATCAAATGGAATTTGACATTTGTAAATTGTAAAATTTGAACAGACAGGTTGGAATTGGGTAAAGCCAGACTGTATTTTGCAATTCACCCCTACCCTCTCCCTGCAGTCAGGGTAGGTGTGTCATAAAATTCGACTCATAATATCCAGAGAAGCCAAGGAATATAGATGCTCAGTAAGAAATTCCTTAGGGAGCTGACTGCTAAGCAGCCATCCTGAAAGTGTCTACCCTAAGTGAGTTGATATTAGTTAAATAACCTCAACAGGGATCTGTCCTGTGTGATAAACCTCCAACCTTTAGATAGCCAGAATCCTTGGAACATGACAATATCTGGACTTGCAAGACAAATTCTTTTGCTAGGAATCCATGGAGATTCGAGAATGGATTGACAAATGGTCTGAAGGATGAGAAGCAGTAGGTAGTGCCTGTGCTAGGAACATCAATCTGTACCAGTGACTGAATAATTAAGACTCTGGGATCGGTGTCAACAAGCCTACGGTTTTTACTTGGTATTCATGAGCTAAATTCAGAGCTTGGTGCAGTCTGGTTAAAATCATGAAACAGTTGAATGGAGAAGTGCAGTGGAATCTTAGACAACCTAAAAATGAGTCTGTGGAAAAACCTGTGTTGGGTTAATTTTTTTTTTACCCAGGGATAAATTTTGCACATTGAGAGACATAAATTGGCAACATATGCATTTAATATGAATAGTGCTGAAATTACCAGGGGTGAAGTTGAGGAAAGCTAGAAATGTTAACAGTTCACTTTGCAGCCACAATGTACTAAACAAATAGGAAGCTAAACTGTACAGTTGAACAGTTTGTACATGCAAGATGATATAATGTTGAAGTTGAACAGGGTCATTGTCAGATTGCAGCTTCACAATTATGTACAGAGACACGAGAGAGTTCTTCAGAGCTTGGAAGTGATAGTGAGACAAGAGGTTCATGACTCCTGTCTGTAAAGTGAACTATAAGTAAAGAATGGAGAATTGTGGGATTTTTAATCATGAAAGGAGATGAAATTAGGCTTTCTTGGAGTGTACCTATTGGTATAAGAAAGAATATCTGCAAATCTGCACTGACTTTTACCAGGTCTCTACGAAGATGAACTGGAAGGTAAAAAGAATGTGAAAGAAGTGAGAAGGAAAACCTTATGTGCCCTGACTGTAATGGTGTATTCAGAAGGCAGCATCCTCAGCAGCATGGCTGTGCACTTGGTGGCCAATTATACCAATCACGTTCTTGATTAAAGACCACTTCCTGCCCTTTATGACTACCTCCTGTGGTGTTGGGAAAGTTTACTGTTGTGAGCAAAATGGCCATACTCCTACAAAACACTTTCATGAACCGCAGCTTGCAATTGTGTGTCAGTTGTTGGCTAATCAGAACCCAGCAGTTAGACAGCACTGGTAGAGTGGCAGCACCAGAGTGACCATTGCCAGTACTACATTTGAGCCTGGAAGGAGCAAGCTGTGTTGGATCGTGACTTTGTAAATGGTTGCACGCTGCTACGCCTTGGTGTGGGGTGGTGGGTGAGCCAGGTTTAAGAAGTTATTGGAGGATGGTAACCTCGGGATGGACTTATTAACCTTGGGATGGACTTATGAAGGGTGGACCTTCCCCCATCAGCTCATGCAGCTTTGGACCGAGATATCATCTGAGAGTCATCACATTCATACACCTCCCTATTGTCTCCATGAGGTCAAAAGATGGAAAACTGAGTATCTGTGTCAATTACCAGACACTCAATGTGAAGACTCATAATTACGCTTACCCTCTGCCTAGGACTGAGGAAGCATTGCAAGTTTTCAAATGTGCAAAACATTTCTGCAATTTCAATTTAACCCACTGTTGTAAGCTACCCATTGCTGAACAAGAAACCAAACAGATGGCATTCCAATCGGGCACCATGGGACGTTGTAAATACACAAGAATCCTATTTGGGCTTCTTAATGCACCTGCTACCTTTGTGTGTGTGTTGGATAAAGCTTCAGTGACCTTAATTTCCAGTCCTTCCTTGTGTATTTGGATGTTATACTCATCTTTGACTTGACATTCAAGTTCACATGGGCCGTTCCCACCAGTGACAAAAAGTCAATTATAACCAGAGTGTTAGTGTGTGATTGATTTATTCATTTTGGTGTTCATGTCAGATTCACAGTGATTAGAGGTGCAACTTTGAGAGCTAGCTCCTACAGGAACTTTAAAAAGTCTTTGGCCTTGCTAAGAGCATCAGCATCCCATTTCATCCAGAAGGTAATGGAAAGTGTGAATGTTTCAACCACACTCTACATGACTGTCCATGCACCTTATCTCCTGAGACTAAACAAAAGTAGCCTGAGAGACTTCCAGAACTAGTTTATATTTTTAATAGCAGCTCAAACTCATTCATGGACTCCTGTCCACAATATCTCTTCTTTGGATAAGACCTCGTCCTTTCTTTGGACCATCTCCTTGAGCTCACCACCCCTTCTGATGGAGAAAGATAGGTGGATAGCCAAGCATCACATGTGGCTAAGCTGGGTATTCATATTGGTATCCAAGAGGACAGAGAAGGAAGCACTGAGAAGAAAAGCATTGAACAATTGCAAGGTTGATAGGACCGCCCCTCCAATCGGTGCAAGGGTATTATTCTGAAATTAGAAAATCAGGGGTCGAAATTAGGTACAGGATGTGTTGGACCCTGAACACTATGGAGTCACCAAATGCCCAGACATAGGTGATCACACTTATGTTGTTGAACTGGTAGCAGGAGAGTACACTCAAGAAATTGTTCAGAGTTGGTTCTGGTTCAGGAGACAAGCACTTAACGAGGGGTATTGTACAACCTGAAGTGTTAGTGCATGATTTCTTGTGGGCAGTGGAGTTGCATAGTGGTGAGAAATCTGAGTGTGACCTGTGTGTTTTGAGTCTAAGAGGTTGATCCATTGTTGGGAGGCCTACTCATACCCTGGAAAACTGCACAGGGAGGCCTGGCAGGTTGGAGGTGGGAACTGAAGCAACAAGTTTAGCTGATCACATGGCTCCTGGAGCTCTAAGATACCGAGAAGATATCTTGAGCTCAGGCTGGATATCACCTCAACCTTTGCCATTTACCCAGATCCGTGATGCAAGAAGAGAACACTGCCACTACTGTGAACTCAAACATTCTAACCATCATGGCACTATTGAACCCTGGTTAACCATGTAAGTGCTCAGCAAACAGTCACTGTGTGCCTCATGTAGTTGTTGGGATGGCACGTTTCAGGGAGGAAAGTCATAGAATTTTTAAAGCACAGAAAGAGACCCTTCAGCCATTGTGTCTGTGCCACTGGTCAAACATCTATCTATTCTAATCCCATTTTGCAGCACTTGGCCTGTAGCCATGTATGCTATGGTGTTTCAAGTATTCATCTAAATATTCCTTTAAATGTCTTGAGGATTCTTGCCTCTCGCACACTTTCAGGCAGTGAGTTCCAGATACCCATCACCTGAAAAATATTTTCTCAAATCTCCTCTAAACCGCCTGCTTTTTACCTTAAAACAGTCCCTGGTAATTGACCCCTCTACTAAGGGGAAAGATTTCTCCCTACTACCCAGTCTGTGCCCCTCAGAGCTTGGTACACCTTAATCAGATCCCACCTCAGCCTTTTGTGCTCAAAGGAAAACAATCTTGGACTATCTAATCTCTCTTCATAACTGAATTGCTCTAGCCCAGGCAACATCCTGGTGAATCTCCTCTGCACCCTCTCATGTAATCAAATCCTTCCTGTAGTATGGTGACCATAACTACACTTGGTACTCCAGCTGTGGCCTACATAATGTTATATACAGCTCCATAAAAACCTCCTTGCCCTTGTATTCACTGCCTTGACTAATAAACGCAAGTATCCCATATGCCTTCTTAACCACCTTATCTGCACGTCTTGTGGCTTCAAGGATCTGTAGACTTGCACAGCAAGGTCCCCTGATGCTCTGTACTTCCTAGGATGTTACCATTCAATGTAAACTCCCTTGCCTAGTTAGTCCTCCCAAAATGCATCACCTCACACTTTTAAATTCCATTTGCTGTTGTTCAGCCCATCTGACCAGCCTATACATATCAATCTGTAGTTTGAGGCTTTCCTCATTGCTATTTACCCCACCACCAATTTTCGTATCATCTGTGAATGTACTGATCATACCTCCCACATTCATATCTTAATAATTATGTACATATTAAACAACAAGGGAATCAGGACTGAACTCTGTGGTATGCCACTGAACTCAGGCTTCCATTCACAAAAGTACCATTTGAACACCACCTTCTGCTTCCTAACAAAATTAGTTGTGTAGTGTGTAACAGAAGAGCATGTAGCAATGGTGAGGGAGAGTGTCGAGCAAGGGATCTTGAGCAATTATGTTTGGACTACAGCAGCAGATGACCACAGTGAGGTAGTGCAGCTGGAGCAGTCAAATGTCTGGGGAAAAAGGGTGTCCTTGGGGGAAGGTGCATTGGTGGGAAGAAGGAGCAGACAGACAATATAATCCAAAGGCTTCATTCCATGTAAATTCTGCAAATACTCCTTGCTTAACCTTAATTTCTCCTCATGTTTGTAATGACTTGATGCCAGTGGAGTAAAGAATCTCAATGTTATGGCCCTCTGCGTGTTCAATTCCCATGTTACTGAAGGAATGAAAAAAATTGGCATTGCTTGTTTTATCGGTCAGTCCTGCCTCCTCCTAGTCTGTTATGAAAGAAATAAATTTAGCCCTTAATGAGAATGTTGGTTTTTTCCTTTATAATAGATTTTAAGATGGGAGTCCCTGAAACTGAAGCAAATTTCAAATAAGAATGGAATAACAGAACAAAGCTTACATTTACGTCTGTTTTCCAATTCACACAATGTGTCACTTTAAATTATCAAAGCCTGCATAGATTCAAATGATTCCATGCATTGTTTGACTATTGAATGTGAAATATTATTCACAACTGCATGTATATGAGATGTTGCAATAAACTACTGGGCAATTGGAAACTTTTCTTTGCATAAGTACATTTTAACTAATTAGAGAAGTCAGAATTTAATTGACATTTTTACAGAGTTCAATCAAAGTGCATCAACGCTCACTGGCATGAACGAAAAGGAACAAAAAGGGCTATTGGACTTCTTCAAAATTGGCAAAAAGAAACCAAAAGTAAGTGTGAAATTTTTTAATTCTGCCATTCTGTTTTTCCATAAAATGTTCTTCAACTACTTATCCTGTCTTGAACACATTTACTATAAAATACATTGTTGATTTTATTCATTGATGAGTCCATGCTGTTGCGCTTTCCTACTTATCAGACAAAATGATCCTAGTAAGCAATGAGGTGACCAGAATGTAATGACAGCAATTCACAATGAGAATCATTCAAGGTGACCTTTGGTTAACAATAGGTTAATCACAGTCACACTTAAAGGGAGTTCCAAAAACAGTGTTACATGCCAAACCATTATAGATACTTCAATTTCAACCAGATGTCAGGGGTAATCCTACATTTATTTTCTTCACAATCTGCATCTTTTAATCTCATTTGTGGAAGCAGATCTTTGTTGTCCCTATTTCAAAAGGTTTGGAGTATAAGAGTACAGAAGTCTTACTGCAACTGTACAAAATTTTGGTGAGACCACATTTGGAGTACTGTGAGCAGTTCTGGTCACCTTATTGAAAAAAAATATTATTTTGTCGAAGGCATTCAGAGAAAGTTCACTTGGCTGATTCACTGTATGGAAGATAACAAGGTGTAGAGCTGGATGAACACAGCAGGCCAAGCAGCATCAGAGGAGCAGGAAAGCTGACGTTTCTC